AAAATAGCTTTTATTTGAAGATATTCCTTTATTAAGAGCAAGTTTCTGAGGGTACTATATTGAGGTTAGCAAGAGAGATAATGTTACTGACTCTGGTTCCTGGAGTACACCACTCTGGTGGGGGCACTTGGTTTTATTTATTTATTTATTTATTTGCTTTAATGATGTGTCCCTGGCAAGACTGCTAAAATCAGATGTTGGATCACCACCACTGTGAGGAGAAAGCCAAAGGTTTAGGCACTTGTACTTATTCATTCATTCATTCATTTATTTATTTTTGTGGTACTGGGGATTAAACTCAATGTTGCTCTACTCCTGAGATACATTCCCAGCCCTTCTTTTTTCTGTGGGGGTTACTGGGGATTGAACTCAGGGGCACTTGACCACTGAGCCACAATCCCCAGGCTTATTTTGTATTTTTTTGAGATGGAGTCTTACTAAGTTGCTTTGCACTTTGCCATTGCTGAGGCTGGCTTTGAATTTTGCGATCCTCCTGTGTTAGTCTTCTGAGCTGCTGGGATTACAGGTGTGAGCCCCTGTGCCAAAACCAGACCTTTTTAAATTTTTCATTTTGAAACTGAGTCTCACTAAGTTTCTGATGCTGGCCTTGAATTTGTGGTTCCCTTGCTTCAGCTCCCGAGTTGCTGGGATTACAGGCATAATGCACTGTGCCTTGTTCTGGCTAATTTTCTTAATATGTAGTGGAAAAGGTTCCCACTGCCATGGTAGCAGCTGAACTCTGAGGGCTCTTTCTTTTCCTGTAGAAGTTTTTAATTTATTCCCACTCTTTTGTTCCCCTTACTTAGGAAAATTTGTGCATGAACCTTGGTGACTTACATATAATACTAATATTATTTGCTTATTTAATAACTAAATGTGAGGTATTATATTATAAAGTTACATTGTAACTAATTGAGCTTGGTGGCATACCTATAATCCCAGTAATTTAGAAGTCTGAGGCAGGAGGATTGCAATTTTGACTAGCCCTGTCTCAAAAACTTGAAAGGGATGGGGAAATTTAAAAAAAGGAAAAAAAAAATTAGTGGGAATGTAGTTCAGTGGTAGAGTGCCCCTGGGTTCAATCCCCAGTATCACAGAAACAAAACCAAAAAACATTATATTAGAACTGATTGTATTTTATGCAAAAAATTTCTTGTACTTTTAAAAAAATATAGTCCCCCCCCCCCAATTCAACCAATAATTAGAACTGCAAATTTTGGTTCTGGGACAACCAGTAAAGTGTTAACCATTTGTTTTGTGAGAAATAATATATATTTTTTCCCTCTCATAGGTATCAGCATTATTTTGGGAGTGGCTGAGGGTGAGTTCTTTATCCATGATGCTGAGATTCAGAAGTCTGCACTTCAGATTATCATCAATTGTGTGTGTGGCCCGGATAACCGAATATCTAGTATTGGCAAATTTATTTCTGGAACTCCTCGCAGAAAGTTGCCTCAGACTCCCAAGAGCAGTGAGCACACCCTGGCCAAGATGTGGAATGTGGTTCAGTCTAACAATGGCATCAAGGTGCTTCTGTCTTTGCTGTCCATCAAGATGCCCATCACAGATGCAGACCAGATTCGGGCCCTGGCTTGCAAGGCTCTGGTGGGCCTGTCTCGCAGTAGCACTGTCCGGCAGATCATCAGCAAACTACCCCTTTTCAGCAGCTGCCAGATCCAGCAGCTGATGAAGGAGCCTGTGCTGCAGGACAAGCGTAGTGACCATGTCAAATTCTGCAAGTATGCTGCTGAACTCATTGAACGGGTGTCAGGAAAGCCACTTCTCATTGGCACTGATGTCTCCCTGGCACGGCTGCAAAAAGCAGATGTTGTTGCCCAGTCAAGGATCTCCTTCCCTGAGAAAGAGCTGCTTCTGTTGATACGAAACCATCTCATTTCTAAAGGGCTTGGAGAGACAGCAACTGTGCTGACAAAAGAGGCTGACCTGCCCATGACTGCTGCCTCCCATTCTTCTGCCTTCACCCCAGTAACTGCTGCTGCTTCTCCTGTCTCTCTTCCTCGAACGCCTCGTATTGCCAATGGCATTGCAACTCGATTGGGTAGCCATGCTGCTGTGGGTGCTTCTGCTCCTTCTGCCCCTACTGCCCATCCTCAGCCACGGCCCCCACAGGGTTCCTTAGCTCTGCCTGGTCCATCTTATGCAGGCAACTCCCCTTTGATTGGTAGGATCAGTTTTATTAGAGAGAGGCCGTCACCCTGTAATGGCAGAAAAATCAGAGTGTTGCGGCAGAAGTCGGACCATGGTGCCTACAGCCAGAGCCCAGCCATAAAAAAGCAGTTGGACAGACATCTTCCTTCCCCACCTACGCTGGACAGTATCATCACAGAATATCTTAGAGAGCAACATGCTCGCTGCAAGAATCCAGTTGCCACCTGTCCACCTTTCTCTCTCTTTACTCCTCACCAATGTCCTGAGCCAAAACAGAGGCGGCAAGCGCCAATAAACTTTACCTCAAGGCTAAACCGCAGGGCATCATTTCCAAAATATGGAGGGGTAGATGGCGGATGCTTTGATAGGCACCTTATCTTTAGCAGGTAAGGAGAGCCTCCTTTGTGGAAATTGGAATGATTCTTTTATTTAGATCAAAGTGTTTGGGCAGTATCTGCACAGTGATTAGTTAAGAAAGCCATTGTTGGCCTGAAATACAATTTTGTCATTTTGTATCTACACAAGTGATACAAGTGTACCACCTTTTGTCAACCATGGATTCCTTGTGTTATTGTTGACAATATATTGATATGATAGTCAAAAGCAGTTTATTTTCTAGAACCCATACAACACACCACCCCTAATCAAGCTTTCAAACTTGTCTTTGTCCAAGTTGCCTTCCATTCTGATCCTTTACAAACCTAACATAAAGGTGGTGTGATCACAGTTTTAAACATAGGAATCTTTGTTTAATTTGTAAGTGCATTTGTGCATTTCTGAACCCCTTACACTGCAGAATCTTGCACTAAAAATAAAGTTTATGGTGTAACAGGTTGTGGCCAGTAGTAAAGACTGTTTTCTAATAGTTTTGTAAGAGCGGCTTTGTAACCTGAACACTAAAAATCATCAGTAATAGATGGGCAACTCAAAATGGTTGGCAACCTGCTTCACTTTTCTTGCTAAGGATTGTTAATTTCTCTCATTTAAAATGAAAATGAACCATGAAGGTCATTGATATTTCAGAAAAGCTTACTTTTTGAAATGTAATTCTGTATTTTCTTTATTCTTTCTAGCAGATTTTCTTTTTCAGAGTTCTTGTATATATCTTTTGCCTCTGATTCTCAGTTTTTGATTTTTTGCTTAGATTTCGCCCTATTTCAGTGTTTCGGGAAGCCAATGAAGATGAGAGTGGCTTTACCTGCTGTGCATTCTCAGCACGAGAGCGGTTCTTGATGCTTGGTACCTGTACAGGGCAGCTGAAGCTGTACAATGTATTTAGTGGACAAGAGGAGGCCAGCTATAACTGTCACAACTCGGCCATCACACACCTTGAACCCTCCAGGGTAAGTGCTTCTTCCCTGGATGCTCTCAATCATTCTGAGACAGGTTGGTGAAGTGGAGAAAAGGAGACTCACCTTTGTTGGGTCTGATTCTTTTTGAATCAGGTGGAAATTATAGTTGAGGATGACTTGTATTTCAGAGGAAAATGGCCAGGTATTAAGAAGAAAGGAATCATCATTGACATCTTTACAACATATATACCCCTCCCTTGGAGCTATTTAAAACAATTTTTTAAAAACTAGTTTAGGAGGATTTACCGTTCTTATAATTATTTTCTAGGGCACTACAGGGTCTTATGTTTAAATCCTATTGGTTTCTGAGTATTTATTTCTTGGTTCTGGAGAGTTTTTTATTTTTTCTTGAATCAAATGTTTTTTATCTTTGTATGTTAAAATGCTAATGTCAGAGACATCTGCATATGTGTAAATACATGTTTACCCACCTTGGGTCTCCTCCTCCTTTTAGGATGGGTCTCTGTTGCTGACATCTGCTACCTGGAGCCAGCCTTTGTCTGCACTTTGGGGAATGAAATCAGTATTTGATATGAAGTATGTATTATTTACTTTTGTAGTCTCATGTCTCTGTGTTTTCATTACTTAATTTGTATCCCCCTTCATCTGGTTTTAGACAAGGAGCCTTTTGGGAAAAAAATGAGGCTCATGTTTAATAAGTTTTTATCTTTCTCATTTTCTAGATATTCTTTTTTTTTAATATATATATATTTTTGTAGTTGGACACAATAATTTTATTTATTTATTTTTATGTGGTGCTGAGGATCAAACCCAGGGCCTTGCACATGAGAGGCGAGCGCTGTATTGCTGAGCCATAACCACAGCCCCATCATTATCTAGATATTCCTTTTTTTTTTTAAAAAAAATATTTTTTAGTTTCATGTGGACACAATATCTTTATTTTATTTTTATGTGGTGTTGAGGATCAAACCTAGAGCCCCACGCATGCCAGGTGAGCATGCTACCGCTTGAGCCACATCCCCAGCCCTAGATATTCTTTTTTAAAATATTTTTTTAGTTGTAGATGAACCCACAGTATTTTTATTTATTTTTTATGTGGTGCTGAGAATTGAACCCAGTGCCTGACACATGCGAGGCAAGCACTTTACCACTGAGCTATATAGCCCCAGCCCTCTAGATATTCTTATGAAGTGTTTACATACTAGTTGTGCAGCAGACCCTTGACTAACCCATAATGACACATTTATGTTTTTTTTTTTCCCCCTAAGTATTTACATAGGGTATAATTGCACTGTTTGCAGGGGTATTTCTTTTTCTTTTTTTAAATGTTTACTTTTTAGTTGTAGTTGGACACAATACCTTTATTTTATTTATTTTTATATAGTGCTAAGGATTGAACCCAGGGCCTCGCACGTGCTAGGTGAATGCTCTGCCGCTGAGCCACAACTCCAGTTCCTGGGGTATTTCTTTTCGAGAACTAGGCTGGCATTCTACTGCTGAGCTATACTCACATGTACCCTATTAGCCATTTTTGTAATCAAGGAATTCCTATTAATTATTTGGGGTCCTCACAGATGTTCTGGTGGAGGGAATTTTCTTTTTAATTCAAGTGTATACAGTTGTTTTCTCTTTGGGAGCCAACCTCACAGATGTTCTAATGGAGGGAATTTTTAATTCAAGTGTATACAGTTGTTTTCTCTTTGGGAGCTAAGAATTTTGGGTGAATACGGTTGTGCAAGGGGCTGATTTTCAGTTTGTTAAAAGCATAAATCTTGAAGGTGTGTCACTTTGGTATGTTTATTGTTTGTAGGCATTCCTTTGCAGAAGATCACTATGTTGAGTTCAGTAAGCACTCTCAGGATCGGGTTATAGGCACAAAAGGAGACATTGCCCATGTGAGTACTTAAGCATTTATTGCTTTAAGCTGATTTTACTCATTTGTTCCTACTGAAATATTCTGGATCAGATGTGAGGACTTAAGTCTTATGGGTGGGTCACTAGAAATACTCAATGATTTTCCTACCAGTTAAAATCTAAAAGTGTAATAAAGTAGTTTTAAGTTATATGGGAAGAATATGAAAGGGCTGAACATGGAATCTGAGAAAGATATTATAGGCCAGCAGATTCATTGTTGAGTTACTTACTTTTAGTTAAAATAAGGTCCCTTTTATGGAGCCTGAAGCAATAAATAAAGAAACAAATATATGCTGTAATTAGGTGGTGTTACAGGAAAAAAGAAAGTAAGAGGAAATGTTTATTGGAGGTGTGGGGGATTTCTGTTTTATCTGGGATAGCCAACATTACAGATTGGTTATTGTTTGAGCAGAGCCATGAAGGAAGCATGATTGAAGCAGAGAGGCAAAAGAGGTTGTAAGGCAGAGGGAATGGAAGGGAAAAGCCCTTGCTTGCGGGGAGGGAAGAGAGGAAAGGGTTAAGTGCTGAGGTCAGTGATGACCCCATATTTTATAGTTAGGACCAACCTTTGGCTTTTCCTCTGAGTAAGATGAAGACACTGGATGGTGATCAGAGGATATATGATTGAATGTAAAATTTCTATAGTGGCTCTGGTTTCTTTGAGAGAGGCAATAGCAGACCTTCCAGTTAGGTCAGAAGATGTTGTACCAGCCTGTATGTGAGAAGAGCAATACAGCTGGGTGCATGTGGGCATGGGGAGACCATGAGAAATGATAGGCCATGACCCTGGGGTTTTGGACACATGAAGTTTGAAATTCATTAGACATTCAGTAGGGAATGGGGAGTGGAATGTATATATATATACACACACACACACAGTTTGAGAGTTCAGGAGAAAGGTGTCTGGGATGGGAGATATAAATATGAGTTATATATACATGGTGATAGTATCTAGAGCCATGAACCTGGATGAGATCAAAGGGCTAGAGATGAGAAAGATTGTGAGGTCAGAGCTCTGGTTGTTTCACTATATAAAAATTGGCAAATGTGGGGGAAAATGTTGGTAAGTGAAGATGAACTTGAGAAGGAGCTCTAGAGAGAGTGGCCAGTGAGGCAGAAGGAAGTCCAGAAGACAGGTACCCTTGAAACCAATGAAAATAAATTTGAGAAAGGATTGATCAGTGAGTCAGAAACAATTAATGAATTGTAGAAGATGAGTACTGAAAGAAGACTAACAATGTTGTTAACCTTGTCAAGAAATAATTCTGTATTCTGGTGGAGCAAAACCTGATTAGAGTGGTTCATGAATGAGCAGGAGAGAAATGGACACACTTGTATATGTAATTTTTTTTTGAAATATTTTTGCTGAAAACCAAAGCAGAGAAAGAAGGGTCACACCTTGAGGAGTCTGTAGGATGGTAAATTTAGGGATAATTTTCTCCTAAATTCTCATTTGAAAATATTGAAACATAGAAAAATGAAAGAATAGTATATATATTCACTTCCTAGATTCATCAGTTTAATATTTTGCCATATTTTGTATGTAAATGTGTATGTGTTGTTTTAAATTATTTTGAAGTTGAAAATTATAAGCATCATCATGGCATTTTTATCCTTCAGTATTATGGTGTGTATCTCCTAACAATATATATTTTGTTATAAAATCATTTAGCAAATTTAAGAAAATTGTAGTAATTCCCAAATATTATTTGATATTTAGTCCATACTCAATTTTCCCATTTGTTCCTGATGTATTTGGTTTCAAATGTTTGTTTGTTTTTTTTTGAACCAGGATCCAGCCAAGATTCACACATTGCATTTGATTGTTATGTCTTACTAATGTTTTAAAGCCAAGCACCATTTCTCCAGTTTTCATGACATTGACTTTTGAAGAGACCAGGCTAGTTGTCTTATCCCATGATATGAATTTGTTTGTTTCCTTGTGGTGTTTCCTTATTTGTTTCAAAGAAAAGATTTGAAGTAATATAGTGTGTCTGTAAGCTGATGGGAAAGATCTGGTCTCTGCATGTGTTGCATATTGTAGACTTTGAAAACTTTTAATATGGTGGGGCTAAAATGTTTATATGGGGAGATTTTATGGAGAAAAGATTATTTCATTGATGTCTTTCTCCAGAAAATAACACTCTAAGGAGTATTCTGTGGGGTAATCAATGATTGATATGGACAATTTTTTTTAAGTTGTTTATGGACCTTTATTTTATTTATTTGTATATGGTGTTGAGAATTGAACCCAGTGCTTCCTTCACACATGCTAGGCAAGTGCTCTACCACTGAGTTACAACCCAGTCTGAGAATTTGTTTTAATATAAATGTTTTCTGTTTCTTGAAAAGGGGAAGGGAAGGAAAATTTGTTTTTCTTAAGTCCCTACATAGTTTCACTTCTCTTTTTCTTACTAGTAGGAAAGGGCTTTTTTAAGACTTGACTATGAAACAAAGTACTTAAACTTTGCTTGAATGGGTATGATCTTCTTACTTACCAGTCATTTTACAGTATTAGGGCTTTTGTAATTTGTCAGGGTAGGGGTAGGGGAAGCTTAGAAAGCATGGGAGAAGCATTTTATGCAGTTTCTCTTTAAATTTGTCTATGGATGGATTGGTCTGATTTTTCTCTTCCCACCCCTTCTTCTCTAAAGATTTATGATATTCAGACTGGCAACAAGCTGTTGACTCTGTTTAACCCAGATCTTGCCAACAACTACAAGAGGAATTGTGCCACCTTTAATCCTACAGATGATCTTGTCTTAAATGATGGCGTCCTCTGGGATGTCCGTTCTGCACAGGCCATTCACAAGTTTGACAAGTTCAACATGAACATCAGTGGCGTTTTCCATCCGAATGGGCTGGAGGTCATCATTAATACTGAAATTGTATCCTTTGCACTCCATTTGTTGTCCAGTTTGTTAGGCAGAAGTTCTTTTTTTTTTCTTTGTTTTTTTCCACATCCAGAGATTTATTCTTATTTGCCAAACAAATTATTTTGTTATAATTCACAATTTTCTTGAGACCTATCTCGCCCTAGATAAAAGCTAGCATTTACAACCATTATTACAACATAATTGTGACACAGTAGAATCCAGGGGTTGCCAATTTTCTTCTTAACCATAGTACTGATTTATTAACCCTGGGGTGCTGGATTTTTTTAAAAATTTTTATTTATTTATTTTTTTAGTCATACATGACAGTAGAATGCATTTTGATATATAATACATACAAGGAATGTACATACATCAATCATATTGTCTATTCTATTCTGCTGCCCTTCCTATCCTCCCTACTCCTCCTCTCCTCTCCCATCCTTTCTCTCTATCCAATCTAATGTGACACACTTTTTTTTTCTTTTTCTCATCACAACATCATATATGTATTCTGTATAACAATGAGGTTCTCCTCCCATCTTCTGGGCAACTCCCCTTCTCCCTCTTTTTCCTTCCCACCTCTCTTCCCTGTTTAGTGGTAGTCTTTTTCTCATGCTCTTCCTCCCTATCCCATTTTGAGCCACCCCGCCTTATATCAGAGAAGACATTCGGCATTTATTTTTTAGGGCTAACTTCACTTAGCATAATCTGCTCTAATGCCATCCATTTGCCTGCAAATGCCATGATTTTATTATTTTTTAGAAGCAGAAGTTCTTTCTAGCAGTACCAGGTTAAAGTATCCACACTGATAATAATGTGGTGCCTCTCCATTGGTTTGAAGTGTTAGTGAGTTTCCAGTGGACTATATTGTTGATATTGGGAATTAATGATGACTTTAACTAGCATGTTTTCTATGTTTTAGGAAGAGTGACTAGATTCCTGGCTATCTTTATCAAATTGATTTTTATTTATCTTTGGAAGGATTTTACTTTTGCTCTATAGAAATCAGTTGCTAGACATAAGAAAATGAAGTGCTACTACGGGGAAGAGGGAATTCAAGTATCATTTATTTACATAAAGAGAATACTGGGGACATCATTCAATAATATCTGACTTTTAAAGTATCAATACCTAGCAAGAGGAGAACAAAAGTGATGTTTTAGAATTTCCATGAGGTTAGATAAGAACTTTTGTGTGAAATAGTTTTCCTTGACTACTCCTTTTCCAAGTGGGACCTTCGAACTTTCCATCTTTTACATACTGTTCCTGCTCTGGATCAGTGTCGTGTGGTGTTCAACCACACGGGAACAGTGATGTATGGAGGTAATAAACTTTTCACTTCCTTCTCTTCTCTTCTACTCACTTAATTGGATACTTCCTTTTTTGTGAGAAGCTCTTTAAAGTTCTGACGTAGATGAAAAGGTTAGTGCGGTGGTAACCAAAAAGAAGGTTAAAAATAACATTGATTTAGAATGAAAGGCAACTAACTTTGAAGTCAACAAATCTTGTATAGAAAGAAATTTTATGCTGTGATTTCCACACATATGTCTTAAAAACCTTTTTATTTATTGTTTTAGGATGTTGTAAGCCTTCAGCTGTTACATTTATTGGGAGCTAGATGAGAAGTTGAGGACATTGTTTGCCACAATAGATTGGATATGCAAGGAAAACAGTTTGAGAGGAACTAACTAAATTCAGGGAAACTGACTGAAATCTTGATTGGCCATTAAAATTTTCTGCATTTGTGAATAGGGAATGTTTCTGATTCTTAACAGTATTTTATTATTCCCCTGTCCCCACTAGCTATGTTGCAGGCAGATGATGAAGATGACTTAATAGAAGAGAGGATGAAAAGTCCTTTTGGGTCATCCTTTCGCACATTTAATGCAACTGATTACAAACCTATAGGTAAGCATGTAGGGGCAGGTATTGATCATTTTTTCCCCTCTTTTTTGAGGTACTGGCAGTTGTATCCCCCATATTTTTTTATTTTTGAGACAGGGTCTCTCCAAGTTATACAGGTTAGCCTTGAACTCGTGATCTTCCTGTCTCAGTCCTCCAAGTCACTGGGATTACAGGCATGTACCACTAACACATATTCATGTATTAGTTGAATCGTTTGTTCTTTTTCTTTGTTTTTAGTACCAGGGATTAAACTCACTGAGCCACATCTTCAGCTCTTTTTAAAAAAAATTTTAAATTTTGAGTCAGGGTCTCACTGAGTTGCTGAGGCTGGTTTTAAACTTGTAATCCTCCTGCCTTCCTCCCAAATTGCTGGGATTGCAATCATGTACCACTGCACCCAGCTCCAGGGAGTTTTTTACGTCTTAATGTTACTTTTTAAAGATCCTCCACTTTCCAGGAGGACTGTAACTTTTCACTGAAAATCAGAGGAGTTTTGGAAATATTTATGAATAATCACTTTAACTTCCTATAGAGGAAAAGCAGGTTTTAAGGTCATAGCTATAGGTCCAGTCCTGAGTCTTGTCACATTCTGTTTTTCAGCAACCATTGATGTGAAGCGGAATATCTTTGACCTGTGTACAGACACCAAAGATTGTTATCTTGCTGTCATTGAGGTAAAGGGAGCTTGCAGACATCCTGCTGTTTTTCTTATGTGTATGATCATTTTTAAGTTACATTTCAGGGGTTTTGTCTGATATCAAATGGGTTCTAAAGTTGATAACTTTTCTGATAGATTATTGATAGATTATTGATAGCCTACTGAATTGGTAGTGTTTGGGAGACATATAGTATAAGAGAAATAATAAGAAGGTCTCAGTATAAGACAATGTAGAGAGTCCTACCGCTTGGATTTACATTGTCATCCCTTTCTCAGAGGAGTCTTGCCAGAGTAAGACAGGTTTGTTCCAAGGATGGTGGTCTCTTCTGTACTTAGGCCCTCATTGTTCAAAACCTTCCTATGCTGTGTTTCTTTCCCTCTGTGTGTCCCAGGTATAATATTTTGAGAGCCAACTCAAGGATTTTTAGGTATTGGAAACATTGATAGTTACAGGGTCAAGGTCATGGGCACCAGAGCTGAGGTGTGGATATGAACCTTCTGAAAACTCACTATTCCTTCTGGACTGGGTGTTTTATTCCAGAATCAAGGCAGCATGGATTCTCTGAACATGGACACAGTATGCAGACTGTATGAAGTCGGCAGACAGCGTCTGGCAGAGGATGAGGATGAAGAGGAGGACCAGGTCAGTGCTCTTTGAGATGTCTTTCTGCTAAGTAGTGCTTCATAGAGATTGTGCTCTTCTGCTTTTTGCTAGAGGTTTTTTTTTTTCAAGATCAGCTTTTGCTACGTGTTTACCACATTTGGAAGACTTGTCATATATCTGAAACTTAGAAGAAAGTAAAATTATAAGACTCTAGCCCAGTACCTGATGATCTTGATTTCTACTGGTAGGTTAATTTGCAGCTTAGCAATCACTGAGTGTTGTTTCAGAGATTTCCATGTTTCAATCTCTAAATCAGGCCCTTTTCCGGCTTCAGTATAAGTAACCCCCGTCATTACTGAAGTCAGTACAAAACAGAAGAGCCACTGCTAGAGATGGATTATAGAAATTGGTTAACCTTTATAAAGTTTTGTGTTTTCTCAGTTTTATGGTATAGTGATCAGAGTAATAAGAAGAGATTAATGCTTTTGAAAAATAAAACATATATAAAATATGAGTGAATAGTATGGTGTCTCACAGTCTTGGCTTTTTCATTTTCACATGGAGTTTTAATTTGTGTTCACTTAATGGTAGGTAACTTACCTGTGTGGTGTCACACTCTTCAGATTTGAAGAGTTTCTCGGTTATCTCAATTTTCAGCAGTTTGTTTTCTGTCTGCTGGGTTTACACCATGTTCTCTTTTCAAGTACAGTTTCCAGGCCTAATTCTTTTCTCTAATCTTCTAGAATAATTTATTGCAGAGTGAGTATTATAAAGTTGAAATTGAATGACTAACATTTGACATTCTCTTGTTGCAGATATTAAAGCCAGTAAAATGTCTCTTTTTCTAGATCTTGAGTTCATTTTTTTCCCCCTCCTACTCTGGTAGTACTTAGTCTTGTTGCTTTGTGTCCTCTTTAAGGACACATAGGTGACCTAGGTGAAAAGGGGAGTGCCATAGAATATGAGGAAGTGTACTTCCTTCTATTTGTATTGACATAGCTTTTGCCCTCATCCCTCTCTTCCATTTTGGTAAGTCATGCTCAGAGGTTAGGATCCTTTGTTGTTAGGATCCTTTCAAAATAGCATGTACTTCAAATTTTAAAGGAAAATTTTAAAAGCAAAAAATTTTTGAAAATAATAATTTTGTGACTATTTTTGGGTGAAAGCCTAAGACTATGGACTAAGGACCCATGTTTTTTTGTAATAGAACTTGCCATTTTGTTTTGCTAATTTGAGATTTAGGTGTGATTTTCACTGTTGGGTTTCATAGGTTGTAAGCATTCACTTGCTCTTTAAATCAAATTCTTCTTTTGAATGCATTATCACTTATGCATCAAAGGTGATCCAGTATACCTGGATCAAATATACCTAGACAAAAGAAGCTGTAACAGATACTCTTACCTAAAGTTCCCTGTGTGTGCTCTTTCTACTGTTCTGGTGGTATGTTCCAATTGACTAAGCATGCTCAAAATTGATCCATAATCTCCAGATATAATCCCCAGATATAGATTTCTCAGCAGAGTAAGGAAAATAGTCTTGTGCCCCCATCCTCTCTCCCCTCTGAGTGTGGATGTTGGTTAAGGTGGGCTGGTAATCACCATGGGATCAGAGCAGAACTTTCTTCAGGGCCTGGCTGCTTCCTGACTCAAAGATTGTTTCTTTGTTCTCTAGGGTTGGGCAGTTTCCCATTCTGGTTTCCCTCTGTCCCCCCAACATAGTGAGGATTGTCATGATTATTGTTAAAAATATTATTTTGGAAAGTCCTATACTTAAAATGACAGCATTAGTATCGTAGTTTTTTTTTTAATATTTATTTTTTAGGTGTAGATGGACACAACACAGTACCTTTATTTTTATGTGGTGCTGAGGATCAAACCCGGGTCCTGCCCGTGCTAGGCAAGCGCTCTATCGCTGAGTGCAATCCCAGCCCAGTATCATAGTTTTTTAAACACCACAAAAGACAAATAGGCTCCAGAGTTTAAAACTACTTCACCAAATGCTGCTAGGGATTTCCTAAAGTAGAAGGGCTTTTCTTTAATGCTTTCCAGCTGCATGGCCTGCAGGGGTCTAAGTTTCATAGCTCACATGAATTATGAGATGACAGGTATAAGGTCTTCAGATGGATATAGGTGGTTTATGATTTATTTATGGCATTTGGGTGTCCCCCCCCCCTTTTGCAATGCATCAAACCCAAGGCCTTGAACATGCAAGGCAAATGCTCTACCATGGAGCGACATTTTCAGTCCTGTGACATGAATATTAATAGTCTTAACTGCTGGACTTTTAATCTGTACATGGTGCTAATCATTCTTGGTAGCTTGCAAGTAGATTTTGATCCTTGACATTTTGTGTGATTGCCTGTGGTTTCTTATCAGTGTCTGTTCCTTTATTCTTGCTTTGGTTTGCTACTTTAGACACCTTACTCCACACATGACATTTTATTTACACTTTAGCTTTCACAAAATAAGGTATATTATCATTGAGTATAGAAGGTGCAGTTTTACAGTGGTACAAGGTGGCTTGTTCCCCCAGGTTCATTCATCATTACTAGGTATCAGTTCTGTTTCAGGCTTCCTGGATGTTACAAGGTGACCTGTAAATCTGAAGCAGCAGGTTTACTTTGTTAAGTTAAATGGGTCCATGTGAGGCCTAGTATCTGTTTTCTTGGTTCTCCTTCTGTGGTTCTGCTTAACATTCCTTTTGAGTGGTGAAGGGAGAAAGATACTAGAAAGAAGATAGGTTGTTGATGGTAAGGATGTCTGAATCTTTGTCTCTTATGGAAAAGTAGAAGCTGCCTTGGCTTGGGCAACTAGGATCAAGAGGTGCAGATGCAAGAGGGTCCTGGCAAGTGGCTCTGGGGTCCAATCTGTATAAGAGCCTGAAAGCTTTCTAACTTTGGAGGGACCTAGATATCAGTGTATGTGAGTAAGTTAGCATTGCTTCCAGATTTTGCTGGCTGTAGGTATGTTTCACTGCATACTAACTACATAGTCCTTGTAAGTCACCTAGTACATTCAATGTTTGAATGTTGTCCATTAGAATACTTCTTTTCCTCTTGGTTTTTTTATTTTTGATTTAGAGATGTTTTGAGTCGAATAAAATATCATTCCTTTTAAAAAAATATTTCTTTTTTAGTTGTAGATGGACACAATATCTTTAGTTTGTTTATTTTTTATGTGGTGCTGAGGATTGAACTCAGTGCCTCTCACATTCTAGATGAGTGCTCTACCACTGAGCCACAACCCCAGCCTTGTAATTAAATATTATTTGTAACCTCGTGTTGATATGAATTCCTTCTAGAATCTTGGAGTGATGTTTTGCTGTATTTACTATCTCCTTCAGATTTCTCCCTGTTACCTATGTAGGTGCAACTTGAATTATTGTTATTATTTTTTTTCTCACTTTCCTTTATAGGTTTCACCTGATTTTAAAACTAGAGACTTCATTTTCATGATTCATTTGCTATTCAAAGTTTTGTCCTAGTCTAGATACTTGCTCTATGGTCTTCTCAGCTGTTTCAGGGTTGCTTAGAGATTCAGGCACCTGTGACCAACACCTTTGAATTTGCCTTTTGATCTTAGCAAAATAAAGTCAAAAGCATGAGTGATCAGGTGCAGTCTGTTGAAATGGTCCAGCATCAAGTACCAGTATAAAATGGTTTTTACTTAAAGGATTTTATTCAGATATAATTTACATACCATACACTTTTGTTTCAATGTTGGGAAGTTATGGGAAGGGATGAACTGTACTACTATATTGATACATAAAAATGTACAGAATGTATTTGTCTGTGCATGCCTGATTTCTGAGGTTGCTATCTGCCTTCTTTCAGGCATTTGATGAAAACACAGATAAGCCAGTCACCTTTCAGAGCTTATGTTATTCATTGGAAGTTTGATAACTGTTTTGAAGATCAGTTCAGTCAACTTTGATGTTGGCTTTTGGCGAAATTATAAAATCAAAGAGTAATAATTGATCATTATTCTTAGACTTTGGAAAGTCAGTGAATTTCAGCTAATTATATTTAACCTTACAATTATAAAGAAATTCAACAGGGGAATAATGCTCTCTTTTTTCCACTCCATTTGGAATCTGGGACACACTGTGTGCTGTGCTTCCTGTGTATTTTCCACTGCCTAGAAGCGGATGGTAAGAGTCTACCTATTCTACACTTACTGCACCGTGGCTGGAGCCAGATGTGATGACTTCTGAAGGTTTTTTTTTTTTTTTTTTGCGGGGGAGGCAGGGGATTCTCCAGTGAGGAGAGAAAAAAACAAGTGATTTTTAAGGTGGTGTATACCAGTAGCACATGTTAAATAGGAGTTTAAAGACAACAAAATGTGACTTTTGATATAAAAATGTCAAGACAGTAGGATCAGGTTTGATTACATTTTAAAAAGCCACCTTAGTTTTTAGATTAACTGTTCTTTAAAGTATTACTAGAAGTTTGTTTTTTCTAAGGGATTGGATATATTTTGGAAGGAAATATACACTAAAAGCTATTTCTCTTGAAAAAATAAATATTTGAGAAGAGTTTAAATGGTCTAGAAACAAATGCTGTACTAAATCTGCGAAAATTAATTCTGCTAAGTTCTTAAGAAAAAGAGAGTAATTTAGCAGAGAAGGCTGTTGGGAATGCCTGGATTCACCTTTGGGTTCTGTTCTGGGGATTCTGTGGACAAGGTGCATTATTATAGAGAAGTAGAACTTTAGAACTTCAAGGTACTTCTCTGTCATCTTGGCAGCAGTTCTTTTCTTTTTTTGGATTGTTTTGGTGGTACTCGGGATTGAACCTAGGACTTTGGATGTGCTAGACAAGTTCTCTATCTCTGAGTTATATCCCTAGCTATTTTTATTTTGAGACAGGGTCTTAATAAATTTCCCAGGCTGACTGCAAACTTGTGATCCTCCTGCCTCAGCCTCCCAAGTAGTTGGGATTATAGGCATGTGCTGCTGTACTCGGCCAGCAGTGGGTTTTAATTAGGAGTACACTTGACAATCCACAGGGAGGCCTTCCAAAATTCATTTGCATGAGCTTCATTTGGAAAATAAAGAGGATTAGGCATGTGTGTTTTTTAGAAAAAAGTTTTCTCAGGTGATTCTCATGTTCACCTGATTTAATCAAACAATCTCATTTAATAAAAGATTGAGATTCAGAGAAGTTGGCATGGACATTCAGTATGGCCATTGCTTCTCTTGCAGTTTTGTAAAGGGATGTCATATAGAGCCCTTGGGAGGTTTCAATCGGAAGGGATTAAACCACAGAGAATTGAGAGACTGGAGATTGGTAGGCAGAGGGATACAAGCAATTGAATACAGTTGGGAGTGACTTGGAGTGAGTGCTGGGGACCTTGGATTTGTGAAGTTCACTTGGATTTGTGAAGTTCACTGGAAGTGAAGCCAGAGAAGTGGGAGAAGGGGAAGATGTGCTTGAGTTTTTGACCTGGTAACAGAAAATAGAAAAGGTGCTGGGTTAGGAGTGGTTTGAGTTCAGTTGTAGAATTGTGGGATTTTAAGTTTTGGTGGTACAGATGGATAGAGCTGTTCTGCACAGTTTGTAAATAAAAAGATATATGAAGGCAGGAAAAAAGTTGGAAGAACTGTGTGAAGAGGAAGCGATCTGGAAAAGACCAAGTAAGGATCAGGCCAGCCTTCCAATTTGTCGACCAAGATAGATTATTCATTGTAGGTCCTACTCATGGTTGGCTGTTCAGGCTGGTTTCTGTGTCTAAACAGAACATCGAACACTTGTTGAAAACTTTGTATGTGCCAGATGGTTTCCAAAGAACTTATATACATGTATGTGTAAAAAGGCCAGTTGAAATCCTAACAGTAACCTTGTAAAGGTCAGTAAATTGCCCTGAATTTTTTTATCATCATGCTAATTGAATTTATGTTCAGCAGAGGCCTCCTGGCTCCAGAGCACACACACAGCTGCTGCACTGTGAAGGGGTGTGGGCAGAAGCTGGACTATCACATGTAAGAGAGAGAGAGAGCGAGCAATTAAGTGAGCCAGTTATAGCTAAGTACATGGAGCCCAGGAATAAAGTTCCTCACTTATCCTTTTCAAAAGTCAACATGTGGAAGGAATTTGAAGTTTGTGTAAATGGAGAAGTTGATAGGTTTGGGAGAGCTGAATTTGTCATAGAAAATAAGATGGCAGTGGAGAGAAGTGTGAAGATGGATAGAGGGAGGTGGGGATACCAAAGTGCATCTGGAGCAACAGAGTCCCACCGTGGTTGAGGCCCAGAATGCAGGGGTGGGAGCTTTGCTTTCTCTCAGATCAGGGTTGAAGTTAAGTTTAGGACCAGCAACCAGATGAGGGAACTTCTGCTTGTCAACCTATTTTTTATACAGAAAGTGAGTGGGTGGGTTGGTTGTCTGCATGCCTAGTTTAGGGCCCTCTGGGTAACCATGAAATTGACTTAAAATGGAATCGAGAGAGAAGTTTTTTTTTTTTTTTTTGGATTCTTTTTGTTGGGAAATTTGTTAGTACAGTATGATTTAAAATGGTTTGGCTGTCAGATCCTCTAATTCTGTTTCTAAACCCTAGTGAATTAGGTTAAGGAAAAACAAAACAAAACTAGTATTTCTAGATTTAAGCTACTATCTAGCTGGATGTGGTGTGGTGAATGACTATAATCCCAGTGACTTGGAAAGCAGAGGCAGGAGGATTGCAATTTGCAAAGCCAGCCTCAGCAATTTAGGCCCTAAGCAACTTGGCAAGACCCTGTCTCAAAAAAAAAAAAAAAAAAAAAAAAATTAAAAGGATTGGGGATGTGGCTCAGTAGTTAAGCACCTCTGGGTTCAATCCCTGGTATCAAAAACAACAACAACAAAAAAGAAGACAAAATGAAGTGATGTGTGCTATATTTCAGGTTCAGGTAGCTCTCTTTCCTACTCATTTCACCTCCCCTGCCATGTTACATATAATGTCTTAATTTGTAAGGATGATAATGTCATCTTTCCAGGATGGTTATGTGTACATTTATAAGATAAACAATTTTGTTTATGGGATGCTGGTAGAATTTGGACTGGCATCTAGTTCAAAGCTTAGACCTTGCGTAACCTATTTTTCCAGCATTGCTTTTGATATGGATTTTTTTGCAATGTAGGAGGAAACAAAAGAAAATGCACTATGACCAAGTACAAAACTTATATTTTCTTACATACATTTTTCTCTTGTCTATGAATCATTGTTCATGAAATTCCCTATCTTTGGTATGGAAACTTTTTTTCACCCCAGTACTTCTGGGTCAGATAAGCTTGATGTTTTAGAAATCAAAACAGCTAATATCTATTTGAGAAGCTTAACATACCCACTCAACTGTGGATGTTTAAAAGTTGTTCTATCTTGACAGGTTGGAGGTGTAGCTTAGCGGTAGAGTGTATGCTTAGCATTTGTGAGGCTCTGGATTCAAATCCTAGTGCACAGAAAAACTGTGCTCTCATGGGCTGGGGATGTAGCTCATTGGTAGAGCTCTTGCCTAGCATGTGAGGCTCTGGGTTCCATCCCTAGCACCTCAAAAGAAAGTGCAGCATTTTAAATCTTTTTTTTCTATCATAAAATGTAAATTATTCCATTCCACAAAGGGGTAAGAGACATAGGGTTCTAGATACTCTCTTCTTATTTTTAACTGAGGTTCTTTTTGAATGGATTAGAACTGATTTTGGTCATGAAAATGTTCTGAAGTGGGAAAAAGAAAAGTCAAAATTGTAATCTGGTTAGGGCTTTGGGTTATTTGGGTTATTTTGAGGTACTATGTGGCCAGAGCTGTGGAGTAGTGGTCTCAGGCCATTACTTGTATATATTTACTTCTCCTTTCTCCCCTTTCTCTCTCTTTCATGGACACACAAAAATCTGTATACAGACATATACTTTTAGTATTAGGATTATTGAGAAAGGTGTCAGTTTTTCCTATGCACTGTCAGAAATTGTTAAAGTATAAATCACTGCATCAAACAACATATCAAAAAGTGTCTAATGGTGACTCCAAATGTATCAGGGGTCTGGGATCAGAGTTACTATGCTCCCTGAGCCTAGTTTATATTATAGCTTGTAGATACTAGTAGCTAGGTGAGCCTCCTTTATTTTTTTCTTGGGATACTTGGGTATTGAACCCAAGGCCTTGTGCATGCTAGGCTACAAAAAGTTTTTTAAGTGATCAGTATTACATTTTTTTAAGTGATTAGGTTGTTACACAATTAAAATAAAAAGATTTTGTTTTCATTAGGTGTATTTATTAAAAATGAATTTTATATTTTATTACTGTAGGAATTAGAATCCTTTTGTTATTGGTAAGGCTTAGTATTGATGGTAACCTTGCTTGGGAATGTGTGTCATCCTTATCAAAATAGAGGTGTTTTTGAAGGGAAAACAGTTTGGGTTCTAATGCAAAGCTGAAATCTGTAGAAGACTTTCAAAGCTTAGATAACCTAGAGAAAAGTATTTCATTGGTTTTCTGGTAGTTTTCTTGCCTTTGGGAAGTTGTTATAAGAATGGAAGGATGTTGATATTGGCCAAATTATGTTGTTCTATTGTGTGCATGTTCAAATGTGTAACAACAAATCCTATCATTATGTACAACTGTAATGTATCAATAAAATGTGTGTGTGTGTGTGTTGGTAGTAAATGGAAGGATGGATGGTTTATGTAGCATTCCCTCCACTGCTTGTAACAGGAAATGTGAATATCTGTGTGTGCTCTGTCTTGTAAACCTGTTTTTTTTAGAACATTTAGATCAAAGGTATGCAGTCGCATTTTTAGGGGCTCATCTACATTGTCTGTTAGAAGAACAAGGGTACTTACTTGAAGGGCTTAGGAACTGGAGACTGAAGAGATGTCTTCTTCCTCCATTTGTTAAAACATTGCTTTTTAGATTCCAAGTACAAACTTTTCCCCTAGTGTTTCAACTCAGTTCATTTGCTTTGGTTGAGAAAGAAGAGTCCCTTTGGGTTCTTAGAATATTGATGGCAGAGATGTCTTTGAAGCAAGTTGTCTCTTTCCTTGAAAAAGGGCTGTATGGCCAGAATGCCTTTTTGGAGTGACCAATAATCCTTGTTTGAGGGGTGCTTTGAGTTTCTTGGGGGACATGTGTGTGCTTGTCTCAGCCAGCACTGAAGAGTCTGACTGGCCCACAAAGTCTGTGCTAACCTAGTTTATAACCTGCTTTGCTGATAGTTTTCTTCTGTGTCCCTTTGGGCAAGAATTACCTTGTGGCCCACATGGGTCAATCCTCTGCGTTTGTCCTAATGACCTCATGCCTTTTTTTTTTTTTTAAACCAGGAAGAGGAAGAACAGGAGGAAGAGGATGATGATGAAGATGATGATGACACTGATGATTTAGATGAACTTGACACTGACCAGTTGCTGGAGGCGGAACTGGAGGAGGATGACAACAATGAGAATGCAGGAGAGGATGGGGACAATGACTTCTCTCCCTCTGATGAGGAGCTAGCAAATCTTTTAGAGGAAGGAGAAGACGGGGAGGATGAAGACTCTGATGCAGATGAGGAAGTGGAACTGATCCTGGGTGATAGTAAGTATAGGGCAGAGTTTGGGCTGAGCCTTGGCACCCTCGGCAAGGTCCCTTCTCTTGAGCCATCCCAACCCAGAGGGTAGCTGTACCCAAGTTCTTTGCCCCATAACTGCTGATTCACTACTGTGATCTCTTAAAGAAAAGCACTCTGACATCACTCATTCTTTGTTCTCCAATCAGACTGTACTCACACCAAATGTCTGTGAACTCTTACCTTTTAAGCAGAGGTCAGCAAACTTTTTTTGTAAAGATGCAGTAAATATTTTCTGCTCTGTGGGCCATATGGTTTCTGCTGTAGTTACTTAGCTGTGCTGTTGTAGTGAGAATGCTGTCACAGATAAGAGTAAATAGATGATTGTAGCTGTGTTCTAACCAAATTTTTTTTTTCTTTCTTTCTTTTTTTTTTAAACAAAAATAGGTGGTGGACTTACAGTTGTCAGCTCCTTTAACTTTAGAATGAAAGGTCAAAGTGTAGCTGTCTTAAGAGGACCAGAGCTGGAGTTAGCTGCAGCTCTTCATGACTGTTGTTCCTTTCAGAAGTTATAAAGAAATTAAGGCTTCTTGTGGAGGAGCTTTCCTGTCTTCTTTGGTTAATACCTCCTGAAGGCCAGTGGACAATGTTTCTCTTTGGCATCAGTTTTGTTCATTTCCTTTCCACACTCTTATTCTAAATATTGAAGAATAAGCTCCAGTTTTTCTAGTAACTTTCCATTAGGACAGGTGTCTGAAGTCAAATTTCCTGCCTTTGCTAATGAATTTTGAATAAGACAACTAATAGTTTTAAGGTTCATATGCTTTGCTGTGTTCTTGCATGTCTCAGGGTAATATTTTCCTCATTGCAAGAATGTGTCACTGTTGAAGACCTGTGCTAGCTATGGTCCTGGTTATTTAAAGTGCTACTCCACCTGACTGGGGAGTAATCCCTGGAAATCCAGCTATTTTTCATGTAACAGATCTAACCAGCATTCTAGCAATCATAGTAGATATTTATCTTCTAATGATAGCCACTAATCACATGTGGCTATAAAATTTCTCAAGTTAAAAATACAGTTATATTCAAATCTGCATTTCAAATGCTTAGTAGCCACATGTAGCTACTATGTTGAACAGCACATATGGGGAACATTTACACTGTTACAGAAATTAACAAATGCCAACCTTCTGTGTTAAAGATGACTAGTATTTATTAGCTTCCATTTTTGATTCTTAAAGGGACACAGGGCAGTTTGGTTTTTTTTTTTTTCTTTGTACCTGGGGATTGAACTCAGGGGCACTTGACCACTGAGCAACATCCCCAGCCCTATTTTGTATTTTATTTAGAGACGGGGTCTCACTGAGTTACTTAGTACCTTGCTTTTGCTGACACTGGCTTTGAACTTGTGATCCTCCTGCCTCAGCCTCCAGAGATGCTGGGATTACAGCATAGGGCAGTTTTTACCAAACTTTTTTTTGTCATATGTGAGTAGTGAGTTATGGAGGATAAGTTATAACTTCCTTCAATTATAAGGTAGGTTGGGGGGACCAGCCAACAGTATTGCTAATGGTGGTGCCCCCAACATAAGTTTGTTTTCTGTACTTTTTTGAAAAAGAATAACAAAAATACCCAAACTTAAGGTTTATACATGTTTCCAAATAAGCCATACAGAAGGGTCACAAGCTAATTTTGAAGGAGGGAATCTGTACTTGACAGTGAAGTCACAATGTTGTTAGGACTGTGATGGATCTCCTCAGTGGTTGGGGTTGAACCCAGGGCCTTGAGAATGCAGGCAAGTGCTTTACCACTGAGCTAAACCTCTAGCCTTGTGATGTTTGTTTAATGTTTCCATTTAGTTCAGTCAAGTTTGTTCATCCATAGTGTCCAAATAAAGTTAGACTTTAGCTGGGTGTCATGGCACTCAGTGGTAGAATGCCCCTGGATTCAACCCCCAATATTGGAAACAGCAACAGCAACAACAACAACAACAAAAAACAAAAACAAAAACAAAAAAACTTAAAAGTTAGACTTGGCTAGAGTGTATAATCTGAAGAACTGGTTATCTGCATTTAACTAATACATTTAGATCACCAGAAAAAGCAGGGGAAGAGCTCATAAAATTAGAACTACCCAGCAAAAATAAAAAGCCAGGCATAGTGGTGAACACCTGTAGTTCCAATTACTTGGGGAGGCTAAGGCAGGAGGATTGCAAGTTTGAGGCCAGTTTGGGCAACTTATTGTCACAATATAAAAAATAAAGGGATAGGAATATAGCTCAGTGTTAGAGTGCTTGCCTAGTATGCATGAGGCCCCAGTTTCAATCTCTAGTACTGCAAATAAATAAATAAAATAAAGAAAAACACCCACACATCCACTCTAACCTGGACAGCTGCCTTCATTCACAGTGCTGTATCCTTAAACCATGATGGGGAAAATGAATAAAAGCAGAGAGCCTCTGCTGTTAAACGTTTTCAACAATCCAGATGATACTTCAGTTTCTGCTCATGCTTTAGGACAGTGAATCAGGACAAGTCAGATTTACTTCATTTAAGGACTGAAGATGTCTGGGCAATTTTTCTGTAAGTTTCTAAGACTGTGTTCATTAAATGCAAAGAAAAAAAAAAAGGAAGTCTTGGCAGAACAGGAGAAGTGATATGCACTTGATGATGAGATTGATTTAAATACTACTAATGGCGTGTAGCCTAGTCCATGCTTTAGCTATTTCTAGAGGTTGGTCTTTGTTGCTCTTCTGCTGCTCCACTACATCGTTTACTAATGGATCATCTGGTTAGGGGTACTTAACAAAGCCTGGAACAGTAGTAGAACTGGGCAGGTCCTCAGACTGGAAACAGCTTTTGCTTTTAAAATATATAAACATATTCTTCCTCACTTGACTTCATTAGGGTGATAAATTTTGGGCATGATATAATTTTGTTAACCATCTGGTATGGAAGGAATAGTTCAGTTTAAAAGCCCCTCCCTGAAAGGGGGAATTCTGTGGGCCAGCAATGACCACATGAAGTTAATACATGTTGCTTTTTTCCTGGTTTTGCTGATCCTTGAGCAAGCCCAGTCATCAGATTCCGAGTTTGCCTGGTCTTATCTCCCTTATCATTCTTCATTTGAATTAAGAGCCTCTCAATTTGCATTTGGTAAAATTACTTTCTCCTTTAGACAGTTTCTCCTCTCCAGGCAAAGTTAATCTGGAAAACTCTTAATTCTAATTAGTTATGAGAATATTGTTAATTTAACTCAGGTGTGAATGTTTTTGATAAAATAAATGACATCTTGATATTTTAGTTCAACCTCTAGAATTGAGATGGAGATATAGATAGTATCTGTAGGCTGCACTCCATTGCTCTTTCTCTGTTATGTAGCACATCCACAATAGCTGTAAATAGCAGAGCACGTCCATGCCCTTGGTTTGTTAGTATTTTACTTCATACTAATTTTCTAGAGCAGGGTAGCTGTTGACCTTTTGGAGTTTTTGGAACCCTTTTAGGATATGATGAAAGCCATAGAAATAGAAAACACATAATGGATCCCCTGGTAACCTTGCCTAGGTCCTGGATTCTGCAGGAATCCAATGATTCCAGATACACAACCATAAACAGGAACCAGAAGCATCTTGACTTAAAGGGTCTTTGTGTCTCGACTTGACTTGTTAGCACCTGCTACTCCCATTCCCCCAGGTGTCTGTATCAGTGGCTTAAACACTGCAGGAATTGATAATAATTAGACTGCCTTTGTCTTCAAGGACTTTCAGAATGGCAGGTTCCATCCAGGGTCTGGGATTGGGTCACTTCAACACTTGGAGGATGAGGAAAGATTGGAAGGAGGATGAGGAAAAATTGGAAGGTAGAGAAAGGAGTCCAACCACCTGGCCACCAGGTGGGGAGTCCATTTTCAAGCACAAAAGGCTCTCAGATGCTGAGCCATTTTCTTAAAGAGGCTTGTGTTGTGATCTTCATGAAGCTGCATGTAGCATTTCTTATCTGTGATAGGGAATAGTGAAGGGTCTTATCTGTTCTTAGCTGTGCTGGGAATGAGGCCCTTGGCCTCCTGTGTAGTAGGCTAGTACACTACCATTGAGCCACATTTGTGGCCTCTGAGACCTTTTTTTTTAAATAATTTTTTTTTTTAAGTTGGACACAGTGTCTTTATTGTATTTATTTATTTTTATGTGGTGCTGAGGATCAAACCCAGTGCCTCATATGTGCTAGACTAGCATTCTACCACTGAGCCACCACCTCAGCCTACCCCCACTTTTTGAGTGGAGTATGATTTATTCACATAAGAAGAAAAGAAAGAAAACATCCACAGGGTGACAGGGGACCCAATAGCAGGTTGTCACTTAAATGTATTAGTCTAGGGGCTTATGTAGCTTCTGGGTGGGCGCATTGATCAGTATCTGTGCTAATCAGAGACCCTTATTAACTCTATTTCTTCTTAAAAAAATTTTTTTTTAGGTGTTAATGGCCCTTTAGTTTATTCAATCATTTATATGTGGTGCTTAGAATTGAACCCAGTGCCTCACACATGCTAGGCAAGCCTTCTACCACTAAGCAACAACCCCAGCCCCTTAACTCTTAATAGTAATAGCAACACAGCTGATGATCAGGAGGTCTCAGGCGGGTGAGTCTGGCATAGTTGGCTCATGGAGTGAACCAACATGAGGATTCTTCAAAGATCTTCCATAGGCACCTGGCAAGTCTGAGGGGGTCCAGGACACAGTGTGTGCTTGGCTTTGTGCGGGGAACCCCTGCCCTTCCTCATGGAGCTTCTGCAACCAAGAAGCTGCTCAGGTGTGGTTTGTTCAGGTGTGTCTGGTATCCTTTAACTTCATTGTGTTTTCCTACTCCTCACCAGTCAGGCCACATTTGTGTCCAGTTGGATCACAAACACTGTTTTTTCTAGCCATCCTTATTTTCAGGACTTTGCCCACTTTGGGGTTCCCCCCCCTCCAAAGGAGCTTGTAGAGGGTAGGATTGTGGCTCAGCGGTAGAGCACTCACCTATCACATGTGAGGCTCTGGATTCAATCCTCAGCAACACATTAAAATAAATAAAAAAAAATAAAGGTATTGTGCCCAACTACATCTAAAATATATATATATATATATATATATTTTTTTTTTTTTTAAAGGAGCTTGTAGAGAATGAATGAAGGAAGATTTGAGAACATGCATTTTTTTCCCCCCTCAGCTTGCCCAAGAGTTGATTCAGGCACCTGGGAAAAGTTGATAAGAAATTCTTTGCAACTTGCCAAAGTCCTTCTCCACATGCAACATCCAGCATAGGTGGATGGGACATGTGCAGCCCTCAGGCTCAGACTTGGTCTGTCCACTTTCCTGGGAATGTTGTTAAAATTGTTTTATAGCTTCTTGTATTGAATAATCAAAGTGTGCATTGAGGCCTTTACTTTTCCTTCACTTAGCCACATTGGAATCCTTATCCACATTTCTCTAATTTTATCTGACAGACATGGTATAACTAATGATCTTGCTTTGTGGATCCTTTTTGAGACCACCTAGTTTCATTCCTAGGTGGATCCTTCTGGAAGTGTTAATGTGTTGTTTCCTGCCTGAGAAGGCAGAAGGTCGAGCAGGGGCTTCTTATCAGAGATAGTACCAACTTTCAGGGCTTAAGAGCTGCTCCCTGTTTGCCTCCTGCCTCATTTCTGGGTAGTTTGTTCCTTCTCTGGTATGACTAATCTGTACCTTTCTGGAATTTATTCCCTTTAGATTATATTCAGAAATGGCAGAGGACTGAATCCTAGGACCACTCCCTCTGCCTTTGTGTGGCCTTCTGAGGACTAGAGAAGGGAGTGACTAAGGAGGTTAAGAAAAATCTCTTGCTTGGACTCAGCTTGCCTTTTTAGTGGTCTCAGGGTCAGGAAGGCCAGTGCCCATCCCTCTAAGGATACCAGAAGGGCCTTCAGCTCTCCTCATCCTTGCCCTTTGTAGTCCAAGTGCCATGGAGGAGGCTTCATGGGGCACTTGTCCTGTCCCTCTGGGGCTTCACAGGCAGAAAGCAGAGCCTTCAAGAAGTTCAGGCCCTTTGAAAGCTAAGAGAGCAAAAAGGTCCCAGGGCTGATCATTGTTGCCAGCAACAGGTGTGTTCTCCAGAGCCAGCTCCAAGGAGTTAATTGATGTGTTTTCTTCTTTCTGGAAACCGGTAATTAACACTGCTCAGGCATAAATGTATGTGGCTGCAGGTTCTTCCTATAATCCTAATGCATAATCTAGTCTCCCTTTTCTTACTTTTTAGCTGACAGCTCTGACAACTCTGATTTAGAAGATGACATCATCTTATCTTTGAATGAATGAGGAGCCATCACCACTTGGAAGGAAGAGATGATTGGCAGGCGAGAAACTGAGTCAGATGAATTCAGAATACCTTCCCTTCCCTTTCTCACCAGGGCTGTCTGTCAAGGACCTTCGTGCCCTGCATTCAGAAGATTATGGTTTAGAGTCTCACTGGAATCTGAAGGTCATTCTAAAATAACAACCACAAAAAAGGCAACAGGGATTAGGCCCCATTCTGCTTCCCTCACTTCTCCTAAGATGGACATATCTTTCCTCAAGGGAAAAAAAACAAAAACAAAAACATGTCTCTGGGGTTATTTCACAATATATTTTCTTTGTATAACGTTCTTTAAAGAACAAGAAATAGTTTTTTATAAAACTTAAAAAACAAACAAAAAAAAAACACAAAAAACAGGCATTTATAACTGAGGGTATGAACTTATATCCACCAGGTCTCTTGTCCCTGCACTTCATTTTCTTTGGAAGAAAATGATGTTTAAAGAACAATACAGAGGCATTTTTACATACGTATTTAAATGAAAAGGAAAATCGTGGTTTCTTAAATTGATAAGGATTAAGAATATTTTATTATAAATATAATATATGATTTTTTAACCTGTTTTGTTGCCTCATATTGCTGTCAGGTTAATTTGTTTTTTCCTTCATGCCAGAGGTGGGAAGGAAGGCGCTGCTTATTTGCTGAGTAAATGCCTAAATTTACCCACCTTCATGGTTTGGGGGCAGCATGGTCATTGTGGATATTGGTTTTGTGGAGTCGAGGGAACTTAGGATGTAAGTTCACTCCCTCTATTTTTCTTTGTGATTCAGTTTTTCAAAAAAATTTTTTTCTTCCCTTTCTCCCCAATGTGGAAATTACAAATCAAAGGCCTTTTTCTTTAATGTAAAGTGTATTTATTTAAAAAAATACAAAATAAACTACAAGTCTGTCTTTGTTTATGGCCTTTCCCTGTTCTCTTTTACCTAAGTGAGGTGTTCCTTTACTTGCAACTCTTGCCAGGTCATATGGAAGATGCCTTCTAAGTCAGAACAGGGTGCTGGGAACATGTTCTCCCCTGGAGAACAGTAGCTGGGGTAGTGTCTGGCCCTGGCCTGCAGCTCTTGGGAGGATCTTTTTCTGTAGAGTGATATACAGGGGCAGAGGGAGGAGCTCAGCATCGTCCACTCTGGACACATCTGTTTATCCCCATGTTCTAGATCAAGAAGGCAGCTCCTGAGAAGGGATTTAGTGGGATTAGAAAGGCAGGGTTCCTGGCACGCTTTGGGAGGAGTGAGCAGACAAAGCTAAGGAGAGCATTTTGACCATCATCATTATTTCATAACATCACTTTCCTGAAAGGGACTGTCACAGGGGGCTTGAGCAGTTAGCTATGCAGTCCTGGTGGTTGAGGAACAGTTAGGCTGTTTGTAGAAACTTGAGGGGTGTCTACAGTTGGCCTATGTATAAACAGTAATCACTGAAGAAAGCACCAGTGGTTCCTCCTACCTTTTTGCTCACCCCTCTCTGCTTTCCTTCCCACAATAAATAGAAGACTAGTCTCTCTCTTTAATTTTGCCCAAATAACAGCTTCTTGGTTTTTTTTTTTTTCTAATTTAGATATCTTATAGCTAAAAAGAGAAGAGACACATTTGGTTGTGAAGAATTAAACAAGCAACACAAGAAGGCTAAAACTCTCTAGGGACAGGTGCAACAGCCGGGCTCAGAAGCAGTGTACAATTTGTCATACATTCTGAGGTGGGCCTGCACTATTGCAGGTATCTCTTGGTCCTCCTGAGAGCAGAGCTTTCACCTCTTTATTTGCTTCCTACCTCAGCTTTAAATGGAGAGTTAACACTAAGCAGTAGGGTAGTTTTACTGCTGGTACTGAACATACCAGAAGAGAGAACAAGTTACCAGTCAAGATCCAGTAAAAAGCACGTCATTCTATTCACTAATGCAGCTAAGCAGTCTCCCTGAACCCTGCCAGGAACTCATGGGAACACTCACAGGTCTCAGAGGTGGAGACGGGCAGTCTACTAGGAAGCACAGTTCTGGTTGACTTGACAACACACCCTTAGGAAAGTGCCCTAAGAGGCTAAGAAAATGATGATTTGCCAGGAAAAAACATGTAGAAGAGTTGTACACCACCAGTGATGTCAGTTTGCCTTCAAGCAGTATCTTAGAACTTGACCCCAGTTAGAGGCACTGGACACCTGCAGTTGGTTTTCTTACTGGGGCAGTGTCACGAAACAGCCATGGTAAAGAGGTCATAGAATCTGCTGTTTTTTTTTTTGTTTTGTTTTAATATTTTTTAGATGTATAAACCTTTATTTTATTCATTTAGTTATATGTGGTGCTGAGAATCAAACCCAGTGCCTCACACATGCTAGGCCTTGCCACTGAGTCACAGCCTCAGCCCAGAACCTGCTGTGTCTCAAGAGCTAAAAGAAGGAAGTGGTTGAGGTCCAAGGAAGAGGAGGCCTGTTGCAGTGGGGTGTGGCCCTTCACCAAAACTCAGTGGTGGTTTTTGGGTAGAGGGAACCCCCATCCCTGGGGGGGTAGATACAAGGGTAAAGGCTGAGGTGTCTTCACTCAGGTTTCCTAACATGTGTCTTTGCTGCCTGGGAAAGCTGGTGGTGTATTTTAGGTCCTCAGCACTTACTCTGAAGGAAGACGGTAGCTTAGATGTACCAGGGCAGCTTAGTCATGTTACATAGGCATGTCAAAAGATATGCAGGAAAAACTCTACAATGTACCTTTAACAAGACAAGGCCTACTCCTATTTCTAGGGATTCCAGCTACTCTGGAATGTTACAGGTGTGTCCTGTTGTGCCTGACCAACTTGCTTAAATATCCACAGCTCAAGTAGAAACAGGCAAATAAAAACAGATCTAACACTTTCTGGTGTTAATGTTTTTGTTGTGAACATGCTTTTTCTCTTGTACTAGCAAAGCCCAGCAAGTGAGTACTTCCTTAAGCACTTCCCTTAAGGAAATTTCCAAAGTCTCTGAAATAGCTCTGTCCTTGTAGACAGTCACTCCATGTAGCTTGCAGGGAGCCTCGGCCTGCAGAGCACCTCTCAGATCCCTTCACCTGCTGGCTGGGGTAGTGGGCTGCACCTGGAGGATTGGAATGGCTAGGAGAAAGAATCACTTTAAGGATCATCTTTCACTAGAGCGCCCGCTCCTCATCCATGATCATGATCCTTTGGAATAATATACAGGTTCCCATACATTTCGGAGAGTGGCATTTGGGCTGTGTTCTATGGTGACAACTGCTGTGGGTTCTAAGTTTTCCTCTCTGGTCCTGACACTGCTGAACTCAAGTTTGCCAGCCCTGGTCTTACTACCTAATAAGACAAGCAAAGGCAGAATTCTAAAACTCCTTCAGGCTGCCCTTCCCTCCAAGGTAGAGTGCCTCCCCATCCTTTTCCTCTCCAGCTGGGCTTGTGTGGCTTTGACACTGCCCAGCACCTCAGCCACTGTGGCCTCATTTTCTCCAAGAGAAATATCCATTTCTGTGTTCTCCAATTGTATAAGAGCAAGAAACCATTATGTCACTTAAAACAGGCATCTTTCTAACTACTACACTCCCCTGTATAACTGAAAAGTACTCCCATCCAGGGATTAGTTGTACTACACAAAGCTCTAGGCATGACTGGGCATAGTCCCATTCTATGGACACCAGCCCTTAAGGACCAAACACCCCCAAATCATAAATACCTGGGTAGAGTTAACCATGGCAGGGCTGGGGAAATAGTTGGTAGAGTGCTTGTTTTGCATGCAAAAAGCCCTAGGTTCAACCCAGCACCACATACCAAAAACACAAAACCAAAAAAAAAAAAAAAAAATCCCAAAACCAAGGCAGCTTCCTTCCAATTCCCCATTCCAGCATAAGGCCTACAGGGGCCCTGGGAGTTGGAGGCAGCTGATTCCCACACTGGAGACCCCTGGGCTAAACTAGAAGGGAGGCTGCAAGCAGTGAGACTCCTTGGCGTCAATATTGCACTGTTCTTCCCTCACGTACAAGATCATGCAACTGCTGAAAACTACCGACTGTTGAATAGGCTTACAGTTGGGGGCTTTGTCTGATAGCCACAGCTCAAAAGTGATGGACACACACTTGTGCAGGGAAAATGAAATCCAACAACCAGTAGCTATTGGCCCAGACCCCTCAGGCTCAACCCCTCTGCACTGGCTTTTACTCAGGCTGGTGCAGTACAGGGCTCAGGACCCACACTGAAGCCTGTCAGCCCTCAGTTAAGATCAAAACTGAGTGTGAGAACAGTCAACTCAGCATGAAGAGCTGGGAGTCACTGATGCAGCAGGACTTTTGGATCAGGGCTGTTGCAAACATGACAGGGCATACACTGGGTAAACTGTCCATTCTTTTAAGAAAAAACTTGATAAACAGGACTCTGAACGGATTAGAAATCCATCCTCTGACAAAGGCTTTACTGACAACTTTCCATACAGTTAGTCAAAAAATAAAAAAATACAGAATACAGCAGACAGTATCTTGTACACTAGAAGTCAATGTAACAGTCCCTTCTCATAGTTGTTTAAAAAAAAAATTCCCCCCCCAATCTAAGAACTTAGTTTTAGTGGTGGACAGAACTTTGTTCCCCTTCAAATAAACCAAAATAACCCAGCAGAGAATTCAAACCAAGGGAGTAGGGTTGAGAAGGGATCAGATTTTAAAATAACTGCTTTTGTGACACAAACATGGAGCTGGAAAAGACAGGTTTGGGCTAGGCAGAGTCTCTCACTATAACTATCACCATGTGCTCTTCTTCTAGCTTGCCCAATGTCCTCAGTGCTGACTGGAGGTACTGCTGTGAAAAGTCGCAGGGAGGGAAGGCATAGAGCATGCCTGTGCTGTCTCTGCCCTTGGATCCACCCACTGGCAGGCTGATCACCCCTGCAGCCTGCTTCTGTTTCAAGTAGGAGACCAAGTTCCTGAGAAGCCGCCTCTGTAGGCCTGGCTCCACCGTGGGCATCCCCTCAGTGCCAGGCCCACTAAGGGTTGCCTGGGTGGCTAGGAGCACTGCATAGCCATTGGGGCTCCCCTGTTTGATGCGACGCGTGACCTCGTCCAACTTAGGCTGGTCCAGTCGAAGGCGCTGGGCAATCTTCAGTTGAGTCAGCTTGCTCCCGGAAGAGTGGTCTTTGAGGAGACCACTAATAACTCCCTGGTCCCCCTCTAGGATGTGCATAGATGTTGGAAAGCAGCTGTTTTTCAACACTAGAAGCCCATTCCAACCTAGCTGCAGTGTCTGAGCATACTCTGAAAGAGTCTTTAGTTTTTTGGTCTCATGTTTTGGCTCTTCAAGAGGCTTGGTCTCAGCCTCAGTGGTCCGATGATTGCGGTCGCTCTCTCTTGTCTTCTTCCCGTGAGAAGAGTCTGGGGCTTCATGGTGGTGGTGGTGATGGCCCCGCTCTTCAGCTCCGTGTCTGCTGTTGCTAAGGGAGTTGCTGCCGGATTCCTTGGTCCCTTCACTGGAGTGGTTCTCCTTGCGGCTGCGCTCAGGGGTGCGGTCTGAGCCACGTTCAGACTGCTGCCCACCACCCTTGGTCCTGCTCCGTTCCTCATAAGGAGAATGGGTTGTCCTTCCACGGTCACTGGAAAGGCTCCTCCGCTTGCGCCTCTCTTCCCAGGGCTTGGGCATGCCCCGGTCACCATCTCCCCCCCAGCGTTCACCACTACGGCTGCGCACAGAGCGGCTATAACCTTCCAGGCTGTTTCTGCGATCAGAACTTTTACTGGGACTGGTCCAGTCCCCTTCCAAAAAGGTCCGGTCTCGGTCTGAGTATAGAAGGTGTGGGGGGGTCCTGTCCCGCACCCTCAGGTCCGCATCCAGGTTGCGGTGCCTGGTATATCCATCAGTGAGAAGCTCATAATGCACAGGGAGGGGTGAGGGCTGGTACTGCTGGGGATAACGAGTTTCCTCTGCTTTGGC